CAGAACAACAGCTTCAAACTAAAAGAATCAGAACAACAGCTTCAAACTAATGCCCCTTTTCCACCGTCACGGCGCGGGTCGGATATTTCCGAGTTGAAGCGCGTTTGAGGTCTTTCCACTGTTCCAGAAACCGGCTCGCCTCGCTAAATTCTGGCCCGGCTTCTCAAGGGTTCCGAGCGAGCCGCGCCGTGACGTCAGAAACACTGTCGGTCACTGATTGGTCGGGGGGAGGAGTCTGTGGAGTCTTTCCAAACAACTCGATCCACCATTTTTTTCTCTACCGCTTGCCATTAGCGATAACACGAGGAGCGTATATTTTAGTATTTTGAAGCTATACAACAACAATAATATCAAAGCCGTGGTCAAATGCAGAAGTGCAGGTGTTGTTGTGCTTGGTGGCCGACGAAAAAAGTCAAAGCGAGCTAGATGGAGGATTGGAGGGTGGTTTGGACACGACTACTGCTCTACTTGAACCATTTATAGAAGATGGTGAGTGTTTTCTAACTTTAAACATATTTTAAATTACTCATCGCATCGGTTCTGAACATATTTTTAACTAACAAAAGAGGCTGACGCCATAATAGGACAACATCGGTGCTACGATGCTAAGCTAATTTGCATAAACGCTAACTGTCCTCCGGTCCCGTTTCTCACTGTATTTTATCCAGAACGTATTTCAGCGCGTGACGGTTCATCTCTAAACTCCACATTAAACCCTCCAAGCCTCCCGGCTCCTGCTCCTGCTCCATCAGAGGAGTCTACACCTGACAGACCTCCATCAGAGGAGTCTGCACCTGACAGAGCTCCATCACAGCCCAGCTGCACCTCACAGAGCAGCACAACGCTGCAGCTTCTGTGCTCGGTAAGAACAGATGCAACTTGTTCCACATCACTTTATTTGTGCCAATAAGGACTTGATTTATTTTATTTTTAAAGTAAAAAACTAAAATGTTGAATAAATACTGAATTGGGATGAAATTATGTACACAGGGTCCCAGTTACAGACAACAAAATGTAAAATAAAAACAGTAATAAGATCGAAGATATGAACTAAGAAAAACATCAACTAAAAAACATCTACTAATAAAACACTAAGCACTAATAGCAGTAAACAATCAAAACAATACGTCAAACAGCAACATGAACTAGAGTTTGTGCAGCCTCATGAATATATAACACTGTGAAGAATCACATCATGTAGCTGCTGATCAGTTTTATGTTGCTGCTGATCTGTTTCATGTTGCTGCTGATCTGTTTCATGTTGCTGTGTTCATTCGTGCTCGTCTGTTCACACAGACTCATGTCCGTGCTGCTGATCAGTTTCATGTTGCTGCTGATCAGTTTCATGTTGCTGCTGATCAGTTTCATGTTGCTGCTGATCTGTTTCATGTTGCTGCTGATCAGTTTCATGTTGCTGCTGATCTGTTTCGTGTTGCTGCTGATCTGTTTCATGTTGCTGTGTTTATTCGTGCTCATCTGTTCACACAGACTCATGTCCGTGCTGCTGTTCTGCGTATTGTGTTTAATGTTTTTATGCTATTAGAGCTTATCATATTTTTAGTTGATGTTTTTCTTAGTTCATATCTTAGATCTTATTACTGTTTTTCTTTTATATTTTATTGTTGGATGTAACTGGGACCCTGTGAACATAATTTTGATCCACCACATGGACCACATGAGGTGCGAATGACAAAGAATATCTGCATCTGTATAATACTTTCTGATTCATATATCCATTATTATCATTTTCATTATTTTTAAATCAATTTATTTTTCATTTTCTTATTTGATCAGTTTATTATTATTAATATATCTATTATAGCTGTTAGCAGCACCTTTCTTTGTTTCATGCATTTATTCAAAAACAGTATGTAGCTTGAATTAACCACCTGTTTCTTCTTTCTGGTGAAGAGAAAGAGAAAAGAGTCCAGTAAAGAAAAGTCTTATTTCATCACTGAATGAACATGAAGAACTGAAGCGGACACAGCAGGAACAACACTTGTGTCTTCTTCTGGATGAAGCCCGTGAGACAAGGGACACACAGATACACAGTCATTAGTTGGAGGAAGTATTTTTTATTTTTGTACATTTTTCACTTCTTACTTTTCTTATTAAACAATTTTTTTCTTAAGTGGTGTCCTTGAACATTAAATTTCCTAAACAAATTTTACAATGTTAAGTTCATATAGTGTTTGTTTAAATTCATACTGGAAGTTGAGAAGAATTTCCAATTGCATTTGATCTTTAATGAATCCTAAGAAAAGATTACCAGAATCTGCTCAACTGTTATTATGTTATAAATTTTTGGTTCGAGGATGAAGTGACACAAAAACAGTCAAAAATTCAGAAAGGACAGTTATCGATTATCAGTCATCAGTTATCTTTTAGCAGTTATCGTTTATCGTCCGTACAACTGTGGCCTGAGAGATTCAGCTGAAAGTCCTGGTGCACCTTTTATTTGAACCTGCAGAGATTTGAACAGCTGATCTGAAGCAAACAGGCAGGAGTTCAACTGAACTGACCACTCTTGCTGTGTTTGATGGTCTCCTCCTTCGCCATCCATCCATCCATCCATCCATCCGTCCATCCATCCATCATCCATCCATCCATCCATCCTCTTCTGCTTCAGGGTTGTGGGAGCAGCATCTTCACCAGGGAGGCACAGACATCAACAGCCTCCTCTTCAACTCTTCTAGGACCCCATGGTGTTCACAGACCAACTGACTATTTATTAATTAATATCCTGATGCTGCTCAATAATCCAGGTAGAAAAATCTAAAAAGTTAAGTCTGGTCCTCTGGACATTCACAAAACAAACAATACAGTTTATAATAAATAAACTAAATGTTTTTTGTTAGTTTTGTTTTTTGAATGTCCAGAGGACCAGACTTAACTTTTTTAGATTAATAAGTAATAAATTTATGTTTTAATTTAATGAAAGACAAATCTTTAAAATTCAAGGACAAAATTTAATCTAATTGTTTTCAAGTCTGTATCTTATTGTAAAAGCAGTTTCAAAGATTACAGCACAGTGTGATGTTTTGTAATTTTAACATGAAACTTGTGCATATCTGCAAATAATAAAAGTGAAGATATTTTTATACATCTTTATTGTAAAAATCTATACTAAAATGAAAAACGCATGGATTTAAAGCAGCAGTAAGGTAGGATTATGAATCAGGTTTAAAAGTTACAGCTCATGAGGTACTCCATTAGAGCATGACATCTCTTCCACAACATCGTGTGACAAAACCTTCAGGGTGTTCTTCTTCTAATACGTTTAGTGGTGACTAGTAAGTAGCTTAAGGGAGCACTACCGCCACCAGGTGGTAAGACTTGTTGGATTCTAGTCCCCGCCTACAGAGCCGGTCCAGAAATGTACATGGAAACACAACAGACCCGAACCGATCTGAACCAACCCGAACTGATCTGATCCGCTCTGTGACGGTGGAAAAGGGGCATAAAAGAATCAGAACAATAGCTTGAAATTAAAGAATCAGAACAACAACTTGAAATTAAAGAATCAGAACAAGAGCTTGAAACTAAAAGAAGCAGAACCATAGCTTGAAACTAAAAGAATCAGAACCACAGCTTGAAACTAAAAGAATCA